ATTAAAACTATATAAAAACTTTAAAAAAATTGCCGAAGGGTCGTTTAAGTCTACAAGTCCTATGTAATAATTATTACCTTTTTTTAAAATGACTGGCGTTAAATCCAAATCTACTTTTATTTGTGTCTTTATGATTAAACCTAAAATAACTAACAAGGTTAAAATAATTTGTCATAAAGATATATAATCTAAATTTAACCCAAATAATAACCTTATCAAAGCTAATAATTGATCTAAATTATCTAGATCAATATCATTTGGATCAATATCGAGCCCATCTACCTCAATACCTAGAGCTTCTAAAATTTCTTGTAATGAAAACTTTTTAATAAAAATTAATGAATAAAATAGAATAATTAACTGCTGTTAAACAGACATTATCCTTTTCCCGAACCGTACGGGATAGTTTCCTATCATACGGCTCTCCAATTTCAATCTGCTAAGAGTTATATATTGTTATTGTTTTTAACGCCTTTATAGTGATATGCTGAACGGCATATTTTACATAAAGGGATTTGTTTCCTGTTTTTTTTTGCCATCAATGCATAAATCTTCTTCAAATGAGGGTCTAGGTTTTTCATCATTATGACACGCTGGATTTTTACTTTGTAATCAGATTCACAAACCATACATTTAAGATTCGACCCAGAGCCATTGGATAGACTTTCAGCATATAGAGTAGGAATCATCTCCTTACTATTTACTCTGAAATCTCACGTATCCATACCATTGACTGCATTGACGAAACTGATATTGTCTTTTCCTTTTAAATTACTTCCGAACTTGGCAAAAACTTTGCTTTGCGTTTCAAGTTTAAATTTAGCTGCAAGAAGTTTAGCACAAGATGTTTTTAAAATGTAATATATTGCTGAAGAAATTCTATTCCTATTATCTGCAAAACTATAATAATTGATTAATCCTGTATAAACAGAGTTATATAATGTTATTATACTGTCTTTATCTTTTGATAATCAAGAGAATATTGGTATAGGTATGTTTTTCTTTAGAAAACCAAGATATTTAAGTTTATTGAATATACTCTGTTTAGGAGTTTCCAGTCTTATTTCCCTATAATTTCTTTTGATAAAATCAAATTGACTAGAATAAAAGGATTGATCTGATTTACGGGATATATCTGTACTCAAGAATCTAGCTTTTCCTTCCTTAGCGTTAGTTATTAATGTTTTGTTATCACTTAGCTTTAAATTTAGTTCTTTTTTAAGAAAAAATCTTATTTTGTCCAGTATAATTTGACAATCCTCCTTAGAACCTCTTATGCCTATGATTCAATCATCTGCATATCTTATATATGTCAATTTTTTGAAACTAAGGTCTAAGGCTTTATAATAAGGAGTTTTGAGAATTAATTTATGGACCCGAGCTTGAACTTCTGGACTCATTTCTTGGTTTTTTAGATGTCTTAATCTAATATATACAGGATTAATCTTGGGTCTTGAATCTGTATCCAATTTCAATTTCAACCCTTCCACAAATTTATCCAATTCATTCAAATAAATATTACTTAAGATAGGACTAATAATAGATCCTTGGGATCTACGTGAAATCGAATCTTTAAATATCCCCAACTCCATGTAACCGGCTTTCAAGGCTTTTCTTATTAAATCCGTGAATCTCCTGTCATTTATTTTTTTTTCAATGATTTTCATTAACACATCTTGGTCAAAAAAATAGAAACATTTCGATATGTCACCCTGAATATATCAAGTAGCAACTCCAAATCTCTCTTTTATCTTTTTCAAAGCTGTGTGACAACTTCTGCCTGGTCTAAAACCATGACTATTATCAGAAAAGATAGGTTCAAAGATTGCTTCTAAAATCATTCTCATAACCTCCTGAACCAATTTATCCGTAGAGGATGCAATAGTTAAAGGTATCGTACCACCACTCTCTTTAGGTATTTCTACTTTACCAGGGGAGAATTTAAAACTATTGTCCTTAAGTTTATTTACTATCTCTTCGGTAGTTTTATCTAAATTTTTTGATGTGAAATACTCCATCATATTACTAGGGTTACTTTTTAACTTATTATATGCTAATTCGTACAGTGAAGGATCGTACATCAATCTATAAATCTTTTCAAGATTTACAGGAGCATCAGGATTTTTCATACAATGTTCTCTTAGTTTTAGAAGTTTCTCACTAGTGTCAAATTTACTTTGTACTGGACTCCCAGCACTAGTGCATAATTCTAAATTGAAATCTGGAATCCTTCCCCTTCTTTCTATTTTCACAGAACAGTATATATTTCCATATTCGGGTACTACAATTCCTCTGTTGCCATAGCCGCGAGAAACCTTAGGCAATCTCGTAGTTCTTATATTTTGAATTAGAATTCCCTTAGATTGTCTACTTTTTACCTTAAAATTGTTTATGCAATTCGTTTGCGAACGGACCGTTTCCCTACTCAAAAGTTCAAAATAGGAAATCGCCGCATTCAACCTATCACAGGCAAGTTGAAGTCCATGGCTTGAGACAACTGGTAAATAGACTTCAAGCAGTGTAGCTTTAATCATAGGAATCTTGACTAAAGAGAACTCGACCTTCCTGATTAGGTCTAATCCTCCTCTTCACCGGAAATGCTATGTTCGACCGTGTTTTTTCTTCACAACCTAATTCCGTAGTCAGAAACACTTTCGGTCAGTGCTTAGAGATTTCTTCTCCATTTCAAAATAAAGCACAACGACGCACACTTTTAGCCATAGCACCTATTAATAAACATATTCCAATAATAGTTATTACGTTTTCATTCATGTATGGTGCTAATGAAAATACTGTAGCATAATCTAAATTACCTAAACTTCATAAAATAGCAAACATTCCTATTGTTAAAAAGCAATCACCAACTCTATTAGTTAAGAATGCGGAAACAGAACTTTGGTTTGCTGCTATTCTAGTAAATCAGAAACTTACTAATAAATAAGAACAAACACCAACACCTTCTCAACCTACAAACATTAATAAATAATTATTTGCTGTTACTAATATAATCATCATAAAAGTAAACAAGCTTAAATAACTAAAAAATCTTTGTACGTGTGGGTCGTTGCTCATATATGAAATTGAATAAATATGAACTAAAGAACTAATAATTAACACAGGTATTAACATACTTACTGTTAAACTATCAAATTCAAAACCTCATATTATATTAAATCATTCGCTATCTATTCATCTAAATAATTCAATAGATACTGGTATATTATTAAATCCTACTTCAAAAAAAGCGATAATTGCTAATATTGTTGTTAATATTACACTAGAACATGTAATAAACTGTGCTCCGCTAACTCCAACTTTTCTACCAAAAAAGCCAGCAACTATTGATCCTAACAAAGGTAAAATTATTATACTTAAATACATTATTTGTATTCTATTGCTATACTTCCTCTTCGTTTAACTTTTATATTTTCATATAAAAACTGACTATATCTTAAGCTTATTAAAAATAAACCAACTTCCATTTAGTCGATGAACTGCATACCAAATAATTTATATTTGGTACTTGGCTGCGGATTATCTACATATACAAATCGTTTTTACCATACCACGAGTCATTACCTGTGCCATTAATCATATTACTATATTAACTTGGTAGATTTGTCTTTAAGACTTCCCCGCAATTTGAAAGTTTCGTTACAGGTAGAACTATAACTAGACAAAGGTTCACTTCATCTTTTTTGATCAAAACCCTAATTTTCCTCGGGCGCAGCCCGTGTTTCAGCCACCAAAGGTGGCGGCCGAAACTTATTTATTTTAGTTTTTAACTGAATTATTTTATCCAAACCTTCTTTTGTAAGATGCTCTTTATTTTTTATAATAAAAGCAGCTTGTTTAAAATAAAGATAATTTTGATATTTAGAACCTCTTATTAAATATTTTTCAAAAAAAGGGATAATACGAGTAACTATATCATCTAATTTTGATACAACTAATTCACAAACTTCACGGTTTTTATATTTATTTACTATACCACAACTCAAATAAATAGCTATATTTTCTAACAAAAGAACATCCCTTAAATCTTGACTGACTGAAAAACGAACAGAAGCATATTTTCCTCGGGCTTCGCCCGTGTTTCAGCCACCATCGCTGGCGGCCGAAACTGTTATAAAAATAGAAAAACACGATTCTCCTGTACAGAACCCAGCTATCCACTCAGGGCTTAAATATTCCATACTATTAACAACTTTAGCCCTTTTCACTGATGATGTTAAAGGGAAATTTTCTTTTAAATTTTCAGATAAACCTCAATTCAACGATGCTTTTTTATTAAGTATATTTTGTAACCCATCTAAAGTATTATGTTTATTACTTAGAATGATAGAATATATTTCTTTAAATAATATAAAATCTGCATATTTATTCGTGATAAGAGGATTAGAATTAAAATGAGAAAGAATTCTATCTAAATCTTTAATCTTTGTTACTCGAAATTCAACTGAATTTCGGATATTTATCTTTGAAATATAACCTATATTCTTAAAATAATTTCGAACAGCCAAAACTAAATCTCTATCTTTTTCATGTAATTTTAATTGAAATCTAGCTTGTGTAGTCCATCCTAAACGATACCTAGAATTTTTTAAAATAGTTACAACAAAAGAACCTTCAGCATCTATTAAACCAGTAATAAAAGAAGGATTTAAAGTACTTAAATTATTAGCCCTACGTTTTTCTGTTAAACTAGGCTGTTTTTCTGTGGAATAAAACCGAACTCCATGAAAAGAATTATGTACAATGTACTGTTTAGTAGCTCCGCTACTAAAATAAATATAAGGAAATAGTTTAGGGGGGAATTTTAATCTGTAAAAAGCAACTAAAATACCTAGACCTATAGCAGATTC